AAATTAATTTTATTGGTGCATTTTAGGTATACAATATAATGACATTCATCATTGGAAATTTGCACCTTTACATAATCTCTCTTGGTTCTTATTTTTTCCCCATTCAAATTTTAAAACACAGCTTTACTTTGTGCCCACTGGTTCAACAAAACATTTTTCATCCTTTAGAAGATATCTTATTGGATAAAACTTGGCTTTCTGCTGGGTATGATTTATGAAAGAAATATGAGATAGAAAAAGAACTAGACTTCACTTTTTAAATATTTTCTATTTATATGAGCTAGGCAATGTATCAATACCTTTTGACTTCTAAAAGTCTAATTATGCATATATTGGAAATGCTTCTCCATACTTGCTACTCAGTTCCCATTGTACAGTGGAAAGTCTTGTATATATTTGTAATCATATTTTAGGCACAAGGAAGCAAATTCATTTTCCCCTCCTTTTTGTACAAATCGAAATATATCAATGACATATGTCTTCTTTTTTAACCTATTTTCTTTACCAAAAGCCATAGTTTGATTTTGATACATAATAGATTTTTTATTTCTGTTCATATCTCATAGGCTTCATTGAGTGTACATACCTCATTAATATCACCAGATCATTGTTAATAGGTTTTTTTTAACAAACTTGCTATAAAAAAGTGCTAAATAAATAATATTCAATAATTCAAATGAGTGTGTTTGTATATGTGCAGCATACCTGCTGAGTACATTTTTTAAATAGAGAATAGTTAGGTGGAGGGCTAGGTCAATTTACACTTATTTTTAAAGAAGTTTCAAATTTATTCATTTTTAATGGTAAGACAGATATATAGAATGCCAGTTAAAGGCAAAAGAGAGTGGCAAAAATAGGACTCCCTTATGCAACTTTCTCCCCCCCCAGCCAGTTCTTCTAACTGGTGATAGTTTTGTCAGCTTCATGTATACCCTTCTAGAGATTGCTGATGGATAGAGAAGCATGCATGCATATGTGAATTTCCTGTGACTTGTAGAAGCTTCTTTTTCTCCTGTTTACTTGTTCATGGTCAGCAAAAGACCCTTGCCTAAATGTTGATTTAAATAGGGAATACCAGGTTGAAGTGTAAATATTTATATTAGAAATATAATATTTATATTAGAAATATACCAACCTTTCTTCCTTTTCACATTTACAGAAGCTCTATTTTCCATTTTATTCTTTCAATTCTTTTTTGTCTTTAAATCCCTTTTCCCTTCCTTTTCTCCACCCCCCCCCGCCATCTGTTGTTCCCTTTCCAATTTAAACAAGTTCTTCCTAATTCCTAGGCTCTCTCCTCCATTCTGCTCCTTATGTATACTTTGGATTTCTTACACAAGTGAAGTAATGTGATATTTAAACTGGTGTGCCTGATTTATTTCACTTAAGATTGTAGTTTAGAGGTGTATCCATTCACCCAAAAATACCAACACCCCCCAAAAAAAGTTTGTTCTTTTTATGACAAAGTGGTACTCTGTTGTATAAAAATACCTTATCTACTTTCTCCATTCATTGTTGATGGACATAGAGGCTGGTTCCAAGATTCAACTATTATGAACTGTCCTGCTATAAACATGGGCATGTGCCTATCACTGTATTATGATGTCTTTATATCTTTAGGGAAGATACCTAGGAGGGAAATAGCTAAGTCAAATGGAACTCCTGGTTTTAGTTTTCAAGGAATCTCCATACTTTCCTGTACTGCATATTTCTCACCTTGTATTCAGCCATACCACAGGCCCAGAAGCATTGTATCCATATGATCTTTAAATAAACTTTCCTCCATTAAGTTGGCTTCCTCGGGTATTTTATTACAGTGACACAAAGCTGACTAAAACAGTTACTACTGAAAAATATGAAGGCAATCTGATTTCTGTATTCTTATTAAGTTATCTTTAATAAAATGATCAACATGAGTATTAATATGATTTGATTGACAGTTGAGGAAACTATCTTGGCAACAGGGAGAGGAGAGAGATCTGCAGGAGTAGATCAAGGCAATTACGTGTTTTCTTTATATTGAATTTGAGTGCCACATTTCAGCATTAATCATACATGCACAAAATATTCCATTATTGTTTACTGTGTTGACTATTTAAAATAATATTAATAAATAATAACATTATGAAAAAGACAAAAATCAACTTAAATTCCAAATGTCAAGTTTTCTATTATATCACTTTTAAACCAAATCATGATATCTTTTTTTATATATTTTGCAGTATTTGCTAATATCAAAGCATATGTTCTTTCTTATATATATATGTGTGTGTGTGTGTGTGTGTGTGTGTGTGTGTGTATGTACATATATGGTTAAACTAAATATAAACCTTATATATTTTGTGACTTTCAACATATACTGTGTACAGTAATAGGGAACTCTAATCCATAAGCGTTTAATAGAGTTAGCTAATAATAAATGTATAATATTTATTTTACTTTTTCAAAGCTTCATTTTCTCCAGTGGCCCTCCACTTTCTCATGACATACTCATCACATAAATATCAAGACTCTCTTTGTGTGATGTTAACAATCAGAATCTTAAACATTCTGTTTATGCAAGCAGTGGAAGTCAAATTCTACTAAAAATATTCCTATGTTAAATAAAATCTCATTGTTATATAGAATCTTATTAAGATTGAAGCATAAATTAAATTTTTGATTTAAACAAGAAATCAAATTAGTGTTTTTTTTTTCTTTTAGGCACTGTTACCTTTCAAGTTGATGGGATAATTTGAGAAACAACATTGGCATCATGATAAATGATAATTAAGGATTTATGTTGTTTCTCTTTGTTTTTAGCATGCAGTGACCTGGAATTCAGGGAAGTGGCAAACAGATTACGGGACTGGTTCAAAGCCCTTCATGAAAGTGGAAGCCAAAACAAGAAGACAAAATCATTACTGAGGCCTGAAAGAAGCAGTAAGATGTCTAAATTGATATGTGGTTTTTTGGGGGTTTTTTTGAGATGAAGATTTCTATCTAAGGAATTGCTTAGAATGAAACATAATTTCAATGTTTATCCTTTATATAGATGTTGAACAAAAAACAGAACATTGTTCTTATTTCCAAGCATTGCAGTAATATTTTGTAAGGAAATGAAGCATCCTGGAAAACTGATTGAGGGAAAAAGAAATGTTTCATCAGAGAGCATTTATATTCTAATTAAAAATTCAGATAAGAATATTTTTCAGTATTTTATTAAACCAGTAGAGAATGCTTTGGATGGTAACGCTTAGAATGACATAGAAATAAGGGTAAAATTTTTTAAATACCCATATTTTTAGAAAATGCACTTGGTCTTCCTTGGGTGTTAACATGTTTCAAGTTTGAGTTTTCAGACATTTTAAATTTACCTCTGTATGTCATAGATCTGTGGACAATCGAAAATATCAACAGATGAAATAAGTGATGCACTGAAGATAATAAAAGTGCCATAAAATCTTAAAGTATTATTTCATAATCTGTATAATTGTGTCATTTTTAATTCCTTAGAAATATAAATTCCAAATTAAAATAGGTTACTTATTATGAGTAATTTCACAAACTTTATTTTATATTATTTTCATATGTATAAAATTTGTTTTATATTTAATTGATAGAAACACTATTTAATCTTTAAAGGTAAAATATTTTCTTTAAAAAAAGGCAAGAGAAAGTGAAATGGCAGCAATTACAGTATATACCACATCTTTTTGACAGAGAAGATCTAGGGGTGTGGCCTTCATTGCTTGTCAGAGTGGCATGACCATCCATTCTCTCTTGCAACTCTCAAATTGCAATGTCTAACAAAATTAAAAACTAAACACAATCATCTGCAACCTATATTTCCTAAAATTCCCTCCTTTCTTCCAAATTTCTCTAACCCTAACCTTTTAAAATTACATATATCTTAATTTAATTTGGCAGTGAAATTAAACTTATTTTTAGATATAATGATGGTCTTTGAATGTGTAATGACTATTCTGTGTAACTGTGTGTTTTAATTTGTGATGACTATTATTTATGGAAACATTCTTCTCATAAATTTTAGAACGAAATTATAGATAGTACTTTTTTAATCCTTTAGAAGTGTTTCTCATATTTGTCTTTGAATATAGGGATTAAACTTTTGGCAGCTGTAATTGTTTATGCCTTTAACCCTGCACTTATTTCAGAGAAATGATAATAATTAAGTGTATTTTTTCTCCTGGTCCTGAAGAAAATCTGTACAGGATGAAGGGATTTCTTCCAGAAACTTGCATATTGAGTTTTTAAAAATTAAATTTTCATATCCACCCTTGTCTTTGCAATAATCATACTTGAAAATAACGTGCTCTCAAATTTCTCCTTTCATCTTGATTTCAAACTAATTTCTCAAATAGATTTAGTAATAGGTTAAATAAAAACTCGTTAAGCACTCAACAAGGTGCCTGATTGATGGTACACATTCATAATATTATTTCCTTTTCTAGGCTTTTGTTGAAAGAAATGCCAAGACACTGTCTTAAAATAGTGGATTGGTTATAAGAAGCTCTTTCAAAGTGCCTTATCTTTGCATTGTACAGGAAAATGTGGGTTTCAGGGTTATTTTTTAGTGGCTAATAAGGAGTAAATTTTCAGAGGAAGTTATCCTCTAGGATTCATGGAACAATTTCACAGACAAGAAATGGCTGGCTTACTCAGGTCTGGACACTCTTAGGGCGAATCTTTCTCTAACTCCATTTTATTTAATTTGTTAATCCACCCTCCAACATTATACTATCCATCTACTTGTTGTTTTTATTTTTCCTTTATAGCATGTATCACTACATAGCACAGTAATGATTTACTTCTTTATTTTATGCTCTCTTCCCACTAAATCAATGTAAACTCAATGAACTTAGAGATTTCACTCATTATTGTATTGCTAGAGCCTAAAGTTGAATTTAGCACATAATATTTGTATAACAGAAATGAATAAAATTAAGGAATGAATGAAGCAAAGAATCTATTAACATTCTACATTGTGTGGTTATCCTGTAATTAACTCAATCAGTGCCTTAGGAATAAGATTACATACTGTACCCATTATTTTCCCCATGAAAATGAATGCTGCAATCTGTATGCATTTGTTTCTATGGAAAAGATTCCAAGCATTAGAAATAATGGGACCAAATACACATGCATTTTAAATTACAGACAATAATGTGTTGTCAGGCTGCTTTGTAAAAGGCTTAGGACTCTTCACATTTCTGCCAGCGATCTGTGGAGTTGATTGCTTCCTCACTAGCCAAAAATATTATCAATCTTTTTAACTTTCCCATCTTCTATGTTATTATATTTCACTTTACATTTAATATTGATTTCCTTTATGTGTTGTAAGTTACAACAGAATGTTAGGTGAAAATATTTGTATTGTAAACAAAAACACTTCATAAGCTATATCTACTAATCTCTTTAATATTGAAAAAAAATATTGATGGCTTCTATTTTAATTGGATTCATTCAGATTCTTCTAGCATTTTGGGCAGTTTTTGCTTCATGTATTAATTGTTCTTTTTATACATCATATGGAGTTATGTCTATGCTATTAATAAATGCATTTTATTTCATTTTATTTGGCTTATTTTTGGGGTTCTACCCTACTGAAAGCTTTCTAGCACAGAGTTTACTTTATTTGATAGTAGTATTGCAAATCTACATTCCATTTTATCACACTTTCCTGGTATCCTTGCTACTATTTATTGTTCATTTTTCCTTATTCTATCCACTTATCTCTCATATCAACACTCAAAGTTGGATTTTGATTGGGATTTTTTCATATTAACAGAATCTGGGCACTTTTTTTGCATTATTAAAGATATGAAGAAGTCATCATAAAGCATGAGAAAATATTCTGTCTTCAAATGTTTACCTTTTAGGCATATTACCCAAAAGTCTTTGAAACTTTCTGCCTTAGTTACTTTTCTCATTGCTGAGACAAAATACCTGATGCCCAAAGTTAAGGGAGGAAAAATTTATTTGGCTCTGAGTGTGTAGAGGTTTCATTCCATAGTCAGAGGGCTCCAAAGCAGAGTGACATGCAGACAGGCATCACAGAGGAGAAACAGTTCATGGTGGGCAGAAGGTAGCATAGCAAGCAAGAGACCTTAGCAGCTTCTTTCTGCTCCTTTTATATTCTATCTAGGCTACCAGGATTAGGGCAGGTGCCTAACCAATTAGTGGACTGATTTAGTAATTACACATCTCAATCCTACCACCTGTAATCCTAGCATGAATCAATCATAAAAAAGCCCCAATTATGACTGCTTGAGGCTTTGAGGGGACATCTAAAGACAAGACATAATACTTGCTTTCCAATAGCTCAAGAGCAGATCAAAAATGAAATTAAATTTTATTTCAACAGAAAGAAAATCAAATTTTAGTTTTATACCAGGACAATATTTGATATTGTTTTTTAAAAAAATCATATCTAAACCCTTTCAATATCATCCATCATTAATGATGACAAAAATGTTTTTGGTAAATCATTTATAAATTCTAAAATTTATTTAGGATTTATTTCACATGATTTGTAACAATTAATCACCTTATTTTAGGTCAAAATCACATTTTAACAAGAATATCTGCTATATTTTGCATATTTGCATACAAATTTGTTTTTCTTGGAAGAGTCATAAATATAATTTTTAATAACAGTCATTTTTATTTTATAGAGAAAACTATGAGGCAGACAACTTTTTGATGTTATTTTTAATAATGATGTTAACCCAAAATGCATACCACACACATGTTAGGTTCTAAAAGAACTGTTCATGTATAATTTATTAATAATTATGCATATACAAGAGAGATCACACGTGGTTCAGGATTCAAAGGCAGAAATCATGGACATATTCTCATTCTCTACTTTTTGCTCCTTCACTTGCTAGATTTTGGTGAAGGAGTTACAAAATATCAACCTAACAGAGAAAGTGTCTTACTCTTATGTGTTTACATTGAATGTCAATCTAAACTCTGATGTGATGAAGTGAAAAATACACTGCAACAATGATCACAATTATACCTCTAGGTATTATGAAACAGTCTTAGTACATAAAAAGGGAGATATTTTATTAGAAAAATATATCACATGTCTTTTTGTTGACGTTGTTGTTGTTGTTAAATTCTTGGTACATTTTAGGTATACAACACAATTACATTTCTCATTGGGAATTGTACCTTTACATAATGCATCTTGGGTCTTATTTTTTCCCCATTA